CCGTGTCGCGCGCCCAGGCTGCGCCCTGCTGCTGCTGCCTCCTGCCAGCGCTTTGGGGTTGGCCTAAGGATTGACGTGCTGGGGCCCTAGGCAGGCCTAGACTGGCCAGTTTTTCCAACATCAGCTGCTTTTGCGGGAAAACTTGCCAGCTGTCTACACTTGCCGCCTGAATTTCCACAAAAGCACTGACGATCTCATGTAAGATCGTCACTGTTCTTGCGGAAATACCGTGCTGCTCCCGTTCGGGCAAAAGCCCTCTTGCGCAAATCATTTGTGCAAGAGGGCCAGTGTAAACAGCTCAGTACTGTTTTCCGCCAAAAAGCCCTGATCACGAAAATGGCGATCGGGGCTTTTTTGCGGAAAAAGTGCTTTTGCGGAAAAGTGTCCTGCTAATCTAGATGCGATTTTTCCGAAAATGCTTTTAACGGAAAACTTTTCCGTTAAAAGCATTTCTGGAAATCATGCCGGTGTAGACGTAGATGTAGAATTTTGAGCAAACAGAACTCCAGATATGTGAGCTCTCCTTCCTATTCCGTAAGCAGTGAGGCTGAGTTAAGAGTTTTCCGTTAAAAGCATTTGCGGAAAATCGTGCCAGTCTGGACGTAGCCCCTGTGCCCGGGCAGCCTGGGTGGGGAAAGGGAGGGTGATTTTTTTAGAGCGGTTTTATAATTCCCCATCACACACCAGTGAAATAGTTGTAAAGCACATTTTAAATGAAGGGCCGGCAATAGGGTTGCCAGATGGTTTCAACAAAAATACCCAGCACACTGGGCAGAATAGCACACCTGTTATTTTGAAATAATGTGCATGTTCTAAAGACGCAGGGTAGCTATTTCGGGATACATCCGGTATCCTGAAATAGTCCCACTGTGAAGACGTACCCTAAGTGGGTAAGGACAGCCTTCTTTGCACTAGCTGCCAGTGAAATCTAGGCCTGCCAATCAAGTCTATGTCTCCTGTTTAAAAACAACATACACTCTCCATAGATCCAGGATTGGCATTGCAGGGTTTCAAGCTGTGATCACTTTGTTTCCACAGTAACCATGAGGAATGTTAATGAGGTTGAATTTTTGACCTATCCTGATGCATCAGAGCATGAGGTAAACAAAAAAGAACATGCAAGAGTGCACTTGGAATAAAACTTTCACGGGTGCACAGAAGCTTACGTGCAAATAAAAACATTGCAATGAGACACTAATCCAACAATTAGAGAAGGGTGCGATGATTGTTTAGGTTTCGACAAGTGTTCCCTGTAAGCTGTGTGCTTGTGCAGCCCACTCAGGAGCTGGGTGGTATATAAATCTCATATTAGTAGAATGCTCACATCTAGGTTTTGTTTCTACTGCTGGTGCACATAACACAATGCATTCCGCACATGGATGGAAAATATCAGAAGGAACATTGGTTCTGATCCAATGAGATGTTGATATCCTCCCTTCCCCAACCTTCCACTTAATTTAAATGAGACACTATATAGGATTGTCAACCCCAAGTATCCAAAAATCATGATTCAAGCCACCAAAAATACGCAAACAAAAACAACCATTGGCTTAACATTTATGAGCTTAAAAATACATTTTGGATTCTCTTTGTGTTCAGCTTTTTGAGCTGTTAGGATCCATCGTTTCAAAGTTTTCTCTGCCACACCCAAGGAAAAACACCAAATATTACCAGATTCGTGATCAATGTTCCCTTTGATTTTTTTCTATCCATGTGCTGAATAAATAGTATTATGTGCACCAAGGCATATGCACATGTGCACCACCAGTAGAAACACATACTGCTGGCTATGGATGCTGTGCATGCTCTGCTAATCAGCTGGACAGCATTTGAATTTCTCTTCAGTGGTTGGCCAAATGCTCAGCTTACAGGGAACACTGTGATACAACTGAGAGATGGAAACGCTGAAAAACAGAGTTGCCAAATTTGACAGAAGCTATTCCAGGAGATTTCACCCTCGAGGCCCCCATCCCTCCCGCCCCCTCCCCCCCAACATGATGTAATGTCATGTTCTTAAAATAGCCTATTAAAATCTCCAGGATTGCTTCCAATAATACTGGGAAATTGATGCCGTTTCGGGGAGATTCCAGACCAGTTCTGGAGGGTAGGCAAGCCTCCTGAAAAGATCAATGAAAGCATCTGGAACAGTTGCAAACGAGATGAGCTCATAGCTGGGACAGAACAGAAATCTGCTGATTTTGAAGAAGTTGATTCCTTTTGTCTTTAATTATTCCTACCTGGGAACATTCCTGTATCTGTTGATTCACACTCCAGCCATGGCTTCACTCCCTGCTGTGAAATTTGAAGGATCAAATATACATAGCTATTGGCAATACAGGTTGAACCTCTCTAATCCAGCACCCTCGAGACCTGACTGGTGCCAAACCAGAGAATTTGCTGAACCACAGGAGGTCAATATTGTTTAGCAGCATTGTCAACACTTCCACTGCTTACTGGGCTCTTAGAAGTCAATTAGGGGTAAATTAGAGCTAAAAAAACCCAGCACAGAACGTTGATAGCCAAATCTGGTGGCTGTAAACAAACTTTATGGGACCACAGGAAACTTGGCCACAACCATGATAAGTGAACATCCAGCTAACTAAATCATGCCGGACCATGGATGTTGCCAGACCAGAGAGTGTCAGCCTAAGAGAGGTTCAACCTGGCTGTGTCTAGACTGCATCCCTTTTCTGTAAAAGGGATGCAAATTAGACACATCGCAATTGCAAATCCCCCCTGCTTCATTTGCATAAAAATGGCTGCCGCTTTTTTTCCGGCTCGGAGCTTTGCCAGAAAAAAGCGCCAGTCTAGATGCGGATCTTTCGGAAAATAAAGCCTTTTCCGAAAGATCCCTTATTCCTCTTACGGAAAAGGGATGCAGTCTAGACAGCCCCTGTGTAACAGCATTTTGAATTCTGTTTGTGCAGCTAAGCCAGTCCCTCCCTTTACCCCAAAGTCAGTAACAAACATAAAAGTTCTTGTTTGTAATAAAGTTCAGTTCAGTGGACTGAGACACAATTTTTCATTAATGCCCCTCTCCCCAAAAAACAGTTTTTGTACTGGAGTCTCATATTGTGATGATACAGGAGAATGCTAGACAAGGTGTGGGAGAAGTGACAGTATGTTTATCTAAAAAGTCTCAGCTATGAATGGGACACATTCAGCCTACTTAATTAGCTTCATTAACATGGGTCCTACAATTGACAGGTAACTGCTTTTGCTGTTATATACATCTTGGATTCTGTTATTTTCACGACAGCTCATCTGGTAAAGTTGGTTTTACCCATGCAAGCTCATGATCCTGTATATTCTTGTTAGTCTATAAGATGCCACAGGACTACTAATTGTTTTTTATACTTAACTAGTCTATTTATAAAGTACCCAAGTCATTCTGATTCCTAGGTACTACCATGGTATCTAGCTTCAAAGTTTCACACTACATACAGTGATAGAAATGTAGCCGTGTTAGTCTGGGGTAGTTGAAGCAAAATGCAGGACAATGTAGCACTTTAAAGACTAACAAGATGGTTTATTAGATGATGAGCTTTCGTGGGCCAGACCCACTTCCTCAGATCAAATAGTGGAAGAAAGTAGTCACAACCATATATACCAAAGGATACAATTAAAAAAAAGAACAAATATGAAAAGGACAAATCACATTGCAGAACAGAAGGAGGAGGCGGGGGGGTGGGAAGGGGGAGGAAGGAAGGTAAGTGTCTGTGAATTGATGATATTAGAGGTAGGGCTGCCGCTTTTTTTCCGGCTCGGAGCTTTGCCAGAAAAAAGCGCCAGTCTAGATGCGGATCTTTCGGAAAATAAAGCCTTTTCCGAAAGATCCCTTATTCCTCTTACGGAAAAGGGATGCAGTCTAGACAGCCCCTGTGTAACAGCATTTTGAATTCTGTTTGTGCAGCTAAGCCAGTCCCTCCCTTTACCCCAAAGTCAGTAACAAACATAAAAGTTCTTGTTTGTAATAAAGTTCAGTTCAGTGGACTGAGACACAATTTTTCATTAATGCCCCTCTCCCCAAAAAACAGTTTTTGTACTGGAGTCTCATATTGTGATGATACAGGAGAATGCTAGACAAGGTGTGGGAGAAGTGACAGTATGTTTATCTAAAAAGTCTCAGCTATGAATGGGACACATTCAGCCTACTTAATTAGCTTCATTAACATGGGTCCTACAATTGACAGGTAACTGCTTTTGCTGTTATATACATCTTGGATTCTGTTATTTTCACGACAGCTCATCTGGTAAAGTTGGTTTTACCCATGCAAGCTCATGATCCTGTATATTCTTGTTAGTCTATAAGATGCCACAGGACTACTAATTGTTTTTTATACTTAACTAGTCTATTTATAAAGTACCCAAGTCATTCTGATTCCTAGGTACTACCATGGTATCTAGCTTCAAAGTTTCACACTACATACAGTGTGTTTATTTTGTAGCTTGCATGCAATTAGAGATGAAAGAGACCTAACAGATCTTTTAGTTCATCTTGCTTCCAGTAAAGGATTGCTCCTTCCAGTACATACAGGGGAAGACTATTATTCCACAGCATGATAGATTTCACCATTAAGACGGTTTCTTGATAGCCTATCTAAATTTTCCTTTTCAGGTGGGGCTTTTCCATCTTTAATTTCTGCAACCCTACTCTTAGTTATATTCCTTTTTTTTATTCCC